AAAAAAAAAAAGAAAAAGAAAAGAAAAGAAGATCTGAAAGATGACATCCACTACAATATTCCATAGTACAGATAAAGAAGCTAAGGCCAGAGAGATGCGAAAGATCTTGTTAGGCCTCCTGACATTCCCACAGTAAAAAGAGCTAACATTTCTAGGGGACTCCCTGTGGCTCAAATCCTGGCAAGCATCAGAGAATGAGGTAACACAAAAGGGCCATGAAGTAGGTAGCACCATTTATGTCCATTTTACAGATGTGGAAACTCACTGGTCCAATATCTGGCTGCCAGGAAGAGGCAAAATCTGCATTTGAACCTAGGATTATCTGCAATCAAAGTTGATCCTCACAGCCCTTAGTGCTTCCAGGCCCATCTCAGTTTATTCCCACCACTACCCCTATCAGCCTAGCTGACCTGCTGCCATGTCAGGCACTGACAGAGGCCTGACATGCTTAAAGACTCACCAAATTCAGGTTCCTCCCTCTGAAGCACTGCAAAAAATATTTGAGGATATGAAGAACTGTTAGTGGCACAGTGACACATGGGAACCTCATGGTACACAACAGAAATGCACAAAGAAGACATCCAAATGGCCCCTGGAGTGTGGACAGGTGCTCAGCCTCCCTCATCACCAGGACCCTGTAGGTCAAAGCCACAGCGGCTGCCATCACACACTTGTTAGGTTGGCAATGCTCAAAAGATCAAAAGGTAACAAGTGGCACCAAGGATGTGAAGACAAGGAATGCTGGACACACTGCTAGTGGGAATGGAAAATGGTGTGTCCACTACAGAAAACACTATGGATTTTCCTCAGAAAAGTAATGACAGAAGCGGCATGTGATCCAACAATCGCATTTCTGGGTATTTCTCCAAAGAAATTGAAATCATGATCTGAGGCCATATATGCATGCCCATGTTCATAGCGGCACTATTCATAATAGCTAAGAGTAAGAAACTAGCTAACCATCCGTGGGTGAGTGGAGAAAGAAAAAAATGTATATGTATACATGAGGAATATTACTCAGCCTCAGAAGAGAGGTAAATCCTGTCATCTGGATGAACCTTGAGGATGTTATAAGTAAAATGAGCCAGACCCAGACAACAATCACATGGTTGGACTCACGTAAAGTCTCTGAAATAGTCACACTCATAGAAACAGAGAGAATGGTGGCTCCAGGGGGCTGAGGGGTGGGAAATAAGGGCACTGCTGGGCAGTGGGTATAGAGTTGCAGTCATATAAGATGGAAAATTCTAGGGACCTACTGTCCACCACTGTGCTTCTAGTTAACACTATTTTGTACACTTACAATGTTATAAGCCAGATCTCATATAATGTGTTTTTATCACAATAAAAAAATCACAACAAAATAGTCACTATGATCTCATATAAAAAGGCTACATGGGAGAGTTGGATGGGAAGTGGTGGCATGTTTGCGTGTAGAGAGAGAATAATGACTAGAAAGAAAGGTGCCAAAAAGTTAACAGTGGTTTTCTGTGGCTAGTAGGATTATAGATTCTATGTTCTTAGTAATCTTTTCTGTGGTTTTCTAATCTTGTACAGAGAGTGTGCTTTGTCTTAATCACTTCCCCTCTCCCCTCAAAAAATGAGAAAGGGGAAAAAAGAAAAGAAAGAAACCAACCAATCAAGGACACTGGCAGTTTTGGAGCCGTTCCATCCCAGCTGTGTGACTATGGACAAGTCACCCAGGCAAATTCCTCACCTCTGATGGGTGTCACACTATCACATTTCTTTGTCTTTGTTGCAAAGCAATTTATCTTTTTTCTTCTCCCTTGAGGGAGATGGAGAACTGAAGTGGAGAAACTGGCATCTTTTTCCCTAGCCAAACCTCCAAGCATGAGCTGAGTGAGGCCTCAGTCTTCACCAGAAAGAGGAGGGTGGGCTACAATCCCTGCATGGCCTCAGTTTGTCAATCTGGAAAATGTAAGCATGTGGCTAGGTCGGACCTCTGTGCCACGGAGCTGGAGAGGAGTAACGGTCCTGGGTCCTGACAAGGTCTGCTGCCAGACCACAGTGACCTATCACTGGGCACAAGACCCAGGCAACTCTGGGGCCACAGTGAAGGGCAGGCCTGCCAGCTGGGCAGAACAGGTTCAGGAGGCCAGGCTATATTGGTTTCCCTTAGCACCCCTGCCCAAGCCCCCATCCAGGCAGTAACTCCATCACTGAAGTGCTCAGCTCTTGTGGCTGTCCCTGGGTCATCTCTGCAGGCTCCCTCCAGTAGCAGGGCAAGGCAGCAGAGCTCAGACATGGCCATCAACCTTTCTGCAGAGGGTGCACCCCTGGCAGTCAACACCAGGGCTGATTAGCTTCCTTGACCCTACGATTGATCAGGGCAGACAAGAGCAATGGGCCCAACTGTGTCCACAGCTGCTGGGTCCCAGGCCTAGAAGAAACTCCCGGCCACATCCAGCAACACTTAAAAAAGCCTAGAAGTAGACTTGTGTGGACGAGTCCCTGAAGTTAGTCCTGCAGACCCCTTCATGCAGGTAAGATCTGTCCTCCTCTAGCCTGGAGACCACAGAGCACTTTCCAATACTCAGGACCAAGTGCTCCTTCTTCAGAACTGTTTTACATCCCCCTTCCAGACACCCCTGAGTGTCACCCTCATGGAATTGAGAATCAGCTCCTTATAGCCTTCTCAATAGAATCTGATAATTCTTAGGCTCTGAGAATCCTAGAATAGTTGAGCTAGAAGAGCTTATTAAATTCAACTCCAGCTTATTCAATTCAGCTCTTCAGCTATACCTATTACACAGATAGGTCTATTGAGGCCCCCAAAAGGAAAGGCCCAACCCCAGGATCAACGTCAACCAGGCCACCCTTCCACGTTTCCCTAGGGCCTTCCACCACACTCTCAGCCTCCACCTCAGAAGTGACAGAGAGCTCCAGCAACATATCCCAGGGGCTTCTCTTGGCTGGGGGAGTTGGGACCTTCAGGTTGCTCACCACACCCAACTCCCTGAGGTCAAAGGCCCCAACCCAGCCCAGCCCAGCCCTGCTCTGTTCTACCATGGCAGATGGCAGCAGATGGAAAACTGTCTTCATAGCTTTAGAGCTTGCTGCCTCTGGTCTGCAGTCTCTCTCTCTCTCTCTCTCTCTCTCTCTCTCTCTCTCTCTCTCCCTCTCTCCCCCTCTCCCCCTCCTCTCTAACACACACAGACACACAGACACAGACACAGACACAGACACACACAGACACACACACACACACACACACACACACACACACACACAGAATCGTGCCCACTCCTTCTGTCCTTCTGACTTGGCTTGATCTGCTTCTGCCTTTTTCCCTACCTATTCTTCTGTTCTCTCTACCTGTGCTGAGGCACTTTCAGCCTCTCTTCCTGTGGCTTCCTCTCTCCTGTTTTTGTTTGTTTGTTTTTGGCTTCCTCTCTCCTGAGGGTGAGGTTGGTGCGACATGTGGTGCCAGGGATCAAACTGTGGTCCCCTGTGCCCACCTAAGCTTGCCTAAGCTGGCACTTTAAGCTGCTGAGCTATCTCACAGGCCCCGTCCTCTCTCCTGTTTTTGGCATCCTGCACCCTCTCAGAATTCTCCTCTATCCTGTACATTCTGGAACTGATTCCTACCTCAGCCCTCACCAGATTGAGAAGGGG